TAATTACACAATACAGAAGAAGAACAAAAATGGGGGACGATCCAAATAAAAAAACGAGAAAAGAATCTGGATGAAATTCTGGCCGAGAAGACGGTAAAGGTGCTTAATGCCATGCACACACTTGGACATATTATTATTTGGACATATCCGCGACAAGCCCCAAATTGGGCCATGCCTGTCTCTTTGTATTTTTCCTTGCAGAGCAGCAAACAAAACTCACTTTTCACTTTCTCAGTTGTTGGATGTTTGGAGATCCAAATGAATCCCGACCGTCTGGGAGCTCGGCTCAGATTTAAGCTTTACTACGCCTTCACGTTAAAATACACAAAAAGACATGAATTCAAATAAAATGAAATAAAAACTCACTTCAAATTGAGCTTCTCGGCCGTCAGACAAAAGAGGCCATGTGGCACCCACAAAAGCTTTAAAAACTTCCTACCACTTTGCAACAAGGAGACTGCTTAAATGAATCCCTTAATTATGAGCGACATCAATCCTTTCATTAAAGCAGTAAGTTTACAGTAAGTCTACAACATGCTCATAAAGCAAGAGTTCATCTTACTTCAGCTGGTTTTGAACTCAATAGAAAAAGAAAAACCGTTGCATTTTTTTTCATCTTAAAGTCCGATTTAGTCCAGATGACCTGTTGTGCCCGCCTTTTTCTTTGCAGGTAAAAAAGAAGAAGCTATTTATGAAGAAATACCGGATGCATTGTTTCAGCCACAAAATGGTGAGAAAAGTTATTTTTATTTTATAGAGAAAGACAAACTTGCTGTTTCTGGGATGACCAAGAATGTTGCAGCAGTGATGGAAAAAACAAAACAAAGCTCAGTCAGCTGTCTAAAGCAAGCTTTGGTTTTAAAAAACCTTGGTGTAAAAAGAAGCCGTATAAGTTAATGTTAGCTGGTTCTGTATAATAATGCTTGTTGGTTAAATTTTTTAGACAGATTAAACCAAAATGATCCCACGTATTCCACCATCTCTGAGCTTCCTCTGATGGAGAAGCCAACTGGTAATACTTTTACGTTTACACTAAAAATGTTTGTTAAACCAAATATTCCTGGTAAAATATAGAATATTTTGTCATGTTTTCTTGCAGACACAATTCTACCTAATGAGTCCCCTTACTCCTGCATCGGAGACACGTTAGGTAGAGATTACACAGGTAACAGTTAGCTCCTTAAATGTGGGAAACATATTTAGGTTTCAAGATTCTAAATCTAAATCCCACCAAATGAACCTGCCAAACAGACAAGACTTATTCTTTTCCATTTGCAGATTTGACGCAGTCGAATGAAAGCCCATATTTTTTACTGAAGAAACCTGAAACACCCGAGAACAACAACGACGTGACGTCTGCAGTTTGAGCGGAAAATTCTTCAGTTGTCGATAAAACCTGCTTCTCAAGAAGAAGCCTTGTTTCCACTAGAGACTGTAAATAATAAAGTTTGAAGCCTGAGTGACCCGTCTGTTCCTGCAGGGGACACTGAAGTCCCATTGATGGCGGTCTCCATGCTGGAAATGCTGTCTCAGTCTAACTTTCAGTCAACCTAAAGACAGGCTGAGAGCTGGAGCTGAGGCGGTTTTAAGCCTCCTGACAAACCGTTACACCGCGCCCGCCTGTCAATCAGGTCAGCTACATGACTTAATGTGAATAACTCTTATCCTTCATCAAATCAAAACCTATAGGTCATCAAAACATTCACCCCCCCGTACAGTGTGTGTCGATCGAGACATGAGCTAATCAGACCTATTTGTTTTTTTGTACCAAGCTGTAAACATGTTCATCTCTGCTGTAAAAACAGACTTTTTGAATGTGGTTTTTCAGATTAAATAAATATTTCTATATAAATGCACTCCTTTATGTCTACTTATGAGTATACATTTCAGATTTGAAATGACAAGACTAAAATGTGCATTAATGCTCAACTCAATAGCTAAGGGAAGGAAGTCTACTTTTACACAACTTTTTATTCTTTTGACATTTTTTTTTTACCAAATACTAATGTAGTTCATTTCTTAAAATGGGATGGAACAGAGTCATTGCTAAATTTGCCCTTAAACACAGCCCCATTCTTAAATCAAGATACATAAAGAGTAAATAAGATCAATAACAGATAATATCACATAATATCAACTTCTCCCATCTAAACTGGACAAAGGGTTTCAAAATGGGAAGAAAAGGGTTTGATTGCAAGTTGTTTGGAGGAGATCTATTTTTATTTGAACAGCATGAATACAGTCTTCCAAGGTGCAAACCCTCCTTCTTCTGAAGCTTGTGGAGCTCCTTGATGTACTGCTGTCTTATCTGCTGGCCATCTTCTCTCAGCAGAACTTCGACTGTTGAAATGTCATTCTGAAGAAGCTCGAGCATGTGACATGGATCCTGGAGAACATGGACTTTTAGTGAGGGGTCTTCAGGATGGCAAAGAAAGAGAGAAAATATCAGTTATTCATTAAATCATTTGTTTGTTCTCATCTATTTTTCTGTATTCATCTGTGTGTAAGAGCACATTTATAAATTCAACAGTGTACTACCCAGACAACAAAGGTACAGTATTCAGGTAATCAACATCTATTCAAAGTTAATAAGATAAACCTTATTGTAATCATGCTGTTTTCAGCTCTCTCACTCACACAATGATATTCCACATCAAATTGCCTCAGATTTTGTGTGAGGAAAAATTAAGCAGTTTATTGTGGATAGTACTTCATCTTTACATGAAACAAATATTACCTGAATTATTTAAATCATTAACAGGTCCCAACTCTCTGTGCTTCAGTACAGAACATACAGTAACTTAAATAATACATAAATTTATTATTAACATGAGCTCGATACATGACTGTATCCTTAAATTATTTCTTGTACTTTATATATATATATATATATATTAAGGCTGGGAACGTTAACGCGTTATTTTCGCGTTAACTAATTAATCAATTATCGCCGACAATTATTTTATCTCGCATTAACGCAGTTTTTATTAGTTATTTTCTTATTGTAAAAGTATTTTGCTCACTGGTTTTTATTTTGTAAAATTCCATCGTGAGCCTAGTATGTTGCTTTTGGCGGATAATCAAGCATGGAGAAGGGTACGGAACTTTTACATGGCCATTTTCATTTTAAAGTTCTTCCAGACGGCGCAGTCCACAGAGCCGAAGTTATTTGTAACCACTGCGAAGTTGAATTTTCTTATCACCGGAGTACTTGATAAGTACTCCAAAATATGTTGCAGCCAGAAACTCAGGCGGACGCTGAAAGGTCGTTTCACTTGTCTTCACTTTATTTAAGCGTTTAACAAAGACCCAGTACCTTCATTCACTCTGCCTAAGAGTCTCTTCAGCTGCTGAATAATAACGACAGCTTTCTTGCTAACTCCGGAGCATCACAACAACAACACTCTTCTTCTCTGAACTCCTGCATGTCACTGTTTCTCACTCACAGACTCCACCTAGTGGTGTAGATTATGCAGCGCATTTAATTAATAACATGTCAACATGGACTGCTTGAATAATGTTGCAGTTCAGAAAAATACATTAACATTAGCAACTTTGAAGATGAATTCAAAAAAGATTTTAAACTAAAGAATTTCAAAATGACAAGTACAACAAAAATGTGTTTGTGGGGTCCCCGATAACCAAACAATAAACATCAATGTTCTCAATTGACCTGTCACACTCTCCCCCACTTTAAAAATGGCGTCCGACATTTTCATTATACGCTTAGCCTAAAACCTTTCTGGGCAGTTTTTTTTTTAATATAACAAAGAGAATGACATTATGCCCTTGCAGTGGCAATAAGCTTTAGTTTTGTATTTATTTGCTTTGATTACATTGTTTAAGTTGAGAAGTACATTTACAATAAAAGTGCACAAGACTACTTTTGAATTCATTATTGGATTTTGCGTATAACAATGCGATTAATCGTGATTAATCACAGGAACTCATGCGATTAAAACTTTTAATCGTTGCCCAGCCCAAATATATATACTTTATATCTTATTTTCATTCCAGATGTTATTTATATCTTTTATATTTCTACTGCTATATTCTTTGGAAGAGCATCTGTAACGATTAAGAACTATATTAATAACCATATTAAATTTCACTGAACTCATACAAAGTTTTTTTTTTGTGTAACAGTTTGCACAAATCTTAAGACACTACATCAACCATGTAACGTTGATGTCATCCTCTATAACCTACACAGCAGATTAGGTTCAGTTGAGTTCAGTTTATGTTACTGACGGATAATTACTACACAAAGTTTGTTTTTTAATGTCGACATTTACGTGGAGTATTACATTCATCATAACGTCAGATAACCATATTTACAGCCTCAAGCGGAATCTCGAGGAACTGCAGTTTTTTGTACTTCCGCATTGGCTTCATTTTTCGAGACCTTTGTTTACTGTCTAATGTAATTAACAGTGAAAACACATTGGCTGTTTGTGAAACATTATTTTAAGGGATATTTCACGTTGACCAAATTCAGTCAAGTTTTACCATAGACTGTACAAAACATGAACGTAGTCTCAGTGATGTCACCCACCCCCACTGAAACCAGAGAATGTTGGTCGCCATATTGGAAAAGTTGACTCTACTTATCTTTAGATGAATTTGGAAAACGGGCAAAAAGGCGGAGCAGAGGTGGGGCTTAAACCTCCTGGGAAACAACAACGTGTTCTCCTGTCGGTCAACACAGCCACACCCCTAATTAAGAGACGAGCTCTAGAGATCAAACCTGTTTCTGTATCAGGCTGTGGACATGTTTATTTCTGCTGTAAACATTTTAACATAGGACCTAATGGGGAATCCGCCGTTTTTGGAGCCAGTCTAAAGTGGACACTGGAGGAACTGCAGTGTTTTTGCACTTCTGCGTTGACTTTTGGAGGTTTCAGCACAAGTTCTCCAGACAGGGTCACTGAAAAAGTCTGAGTGAATTGACACATTTTAACCAGTAGGTGGTGCTCAAGGGTCTCAGATGCAGCTTGCAGTTGGAAGAGGCCATAAGAAGCAGAGGAAGCTGCAGCAGCTTCAGGTCACAGCTGCCAGGTTTCACACGCTCTAGTTTGTTTATTGTTCTTTTTATCAGGTATACAAATATCAATGCAGTTATAAATAAAGCCACTTCAGTGGAAGTGTAATAGTGATGATGGTGTTAATGTGTCTGACAATGACTGAGTTGATTGTTTTCACGTCTGTTGTCATTTTCCCTGACCTGTCAGTATCCAACAGATTTAATGCAGCTTTGGTCACATAATGATTTTACTTTCAAGACATGACTTCACATCTTTCAGAAAGGTAAACACTCATTATGAGTCCATACCTGAGGCGCTGACTGTGTGGTGGGTGAAACATTCAGAGAAGAGGAAACTTCAGCGCTCATTAACCACAGATTGAAACAGTCACAGACTCACTCTTATAACTTACCAATGTGGGTGTTTAGGGTAGAGGAACACACACCCGCTGGCACGTAGACGGTCGAGTTCCTGTTCACTTCTAAGAGAAACTGTGCTCACTTTGTGACAGAAGTCAGTGCGAAGATGAAGGTGATCATCAGCTGCTGCCTGTTTGCCTTCCTCCTGAGCTGTAACCTCACTGCAGGTAAGACTGCCCTGTTTCTCACCATTACTTTGAAGCGTGTTGTGAAGACTTTTGTGTAGAATTTTGTGAGTTGAAATGAATCTGAAATGTGAATCAAACTTTCATGAGGAATTGAGCCGCTGATGTAAGCGTGAGAAAGGTTACTTCAGGAAGTAAAAAAACAGCCCGGATAGATTCAGTGGTAACGTACCTACACCGCAATATTTACATAAATGTGGAATATTTTTTAATGTGTTATTCTCATCAGTTTGGGTTGTTGGTTGTTGATTTTATACATGATTAGTGCATTGATTTCTTTAGTATGAAGATGAAGAAGATATCCTCCATTAATTATTAGAGGGAGATTACATTTGACGCTGTGTTGTTGAACATGCTACACACACACACACACACGATCCTGTGGATGCACTGATGGCAAACGCTCCTGAGCTGGTGGGGCGGGGGTTTGGTGCCTTGCTCAATGTCACATCGGCAGTACTCAGGAAGTGATCTGACACCTCTCCAGCTACCAGACCAACTTCCAGACTAGGGCCCTTTCCGAATTGTCACAGTTCAGTCGGCAGTACGTACTTTTCAGTATGGAGTTTCAGTATACTGAACTTTCGTGGTCATTCAGTATGCATTTTTTGGGTCCACCTCAGTATACTGAACATTTCAGCATGGATACTAACTTCCGGATTTCATGCAGTATGGATCGGATGCGTGCTTTCAGGAAATGAATTGTATTTTACCACCCACAATGCTGTGTGAAATTAAACGTAAATCGTCACGTCCGCCTCCAAATCAAAACAAACGAGCGTGGATTACTTGAATAAATTTTTAATCTAGAGTTAAAGTCCTGACTGAAATCGCTACTTTTAATTAACAACAGAAAATATAACAAATATCTGCATTATTATAAAACCTTTCCCCCTCTATTTAAATAATGATTTCACTATTTAAATGCGTCTGTCTGACTTGTGATGTTGTTTTTTGTTTACCTGACTGTATATGCGCATTACTCTTCTTGAATAAAGCTAAACAGAAAAAAAAATCTGCCTACTGTGCGCGCCCACTGAACAGTAGGTACTAAAGTTTTGTACTTGCAGGTATTTGCAGACCCTTTTTCAGCTGATGTTGAGAGTGTCCCAAATGTGTTGCAAATGGAACTTGTTGACCTGCAGTGTAACAGTGAACTGAAAAATAAATTCAGAGAGGTATAGGGGAAGGCAGACCTGACTGGACAGTTTCTAAGAGAATTACCTGCATCCTTCCCAGAGCTATCCAAATTGTTCAGTCGTGTAATGTGCCTTTTTGGAAGCACATGTCTGTGTGAGAAACTTTTCTCGACAATGAACTTTAATAAATGCAAGTACAGGTCCAGGCTTAGTAATGCACACCTTGAAGCTGTACTCAGGGTTTCAACTGTGACCTCCGTCAAGGTGAATGTGGCTCATCTGTGTGAGCAGAAGCGCTGCCAGGTGTCTGCTGTTTGTATTAGTGATGTGTGACAGAATTTTGCGGAAACAAAAAGTACATTTGCAAAAATAAAGTCCTTTTTGTGGTGCTTGAACTTTGTAGTGGCCCTCCTTTAAGTCAACAGTACTCCCAGTGGCCCCATGCCAGTTTGAGTTTGAGACCCCTGTACTAAACAGTACACAGCACGGATAGTAGGTACTGCCTACTGCCTACTGAAAGATTGAGTAGGTACTTGGCAATTCAGATACAGCCACTGTCTGCACCGGGACTTGAACCAGCGACTCTCTGGTTCGCCAATCCAAGTCCTAGAGGCTGAGCTGTTTTTTCTTACTGTCTGTCAAAACACCAATGGACGTGCATTAAACGTGAACGTGCGTGTTTAAACCTGATGCTGCATCATTAAGATGATCCTCCTCTGCATGTGAAGTCTGGTGGATTTAATGTTGGAGGTTCATGACACAAAGACGCGTTTGATGAAGAGAAAGTTAAATGTGATTCTGAAACTGGTTTCAAACCACATTTTAGTTGCTTGCAATTTTAAGAATACAGACATCCTGACAGCCGAGTCTTTGTATCTAACGTTGTGTTTCTGTTGCAGCAATCATCCATAAAATAGTCGAGCAGAAGGAATCAATCGCTTTACCCTGTCCTCACCCTGTGGATAAAGTGAAGTGGAGCAGAGAGAAGAATGGAAAAAAAACTGACTTAATGACTGTTGAGGGTGAAAAGGAGACAAAACACATTTCAGACCCATATAAATATTTTACTGCATTAGCAGATAAATCTCTAATGATACGAAGAGTAATGTTCTCAGACGATGGAAGATATTTGTATAACGATGAAGCAGCTGTGGATCTGACGGTGATCCCACCAGGTAACATCGAACTTTAATAAAAAACTTTTCAACATGACTTGATTTCTCGAGTTTAGTTTAACATGGACCACAGACACACTTCAGTAATTTGAAAGAACTGTGCATTTTCATTTAAAAAAAAATTGGGTTTGATTTTTCTTTCCATTTATTTAAAAAATATATTTTTTACCTTTGTTAGTCTTTATTTAATGACAGTTTAGAATCCTCTGACTTTACTCTGCGTGATGCATTAATCGTAGCTCATAATAAAACCTGTTTTGTTTCCTCTGCACAGGAACAGTCGTTCTCGAGGCGACAGAGAGGACCAGCGTCACTCTGAAATGTCCTGATGTTTCAGACGATCACGGATGGTGGACAGACGTTGTAGACATACAACAACAAAGACGGTTTGTTGTTTCAAAAGCTAAAAAGACGTTAACAATAAAAAGAGTGAATGCTGCTGACTCTGGACTTTACTACTGCGGTGAAAAACCTGCTGCGTACCTGAACGTGATCAGAGATGATGCGTCTGACAGAGGTGAGAGGAACACATCATCAGGGAAGAAGTTAAGAGAAGTTATTTTAAAGAAGTCAGACAGATTCTTAGTAATCTACCTTTTCACCTTCTTGTCACAGATATTTAGAGATATGAGGACATTGATACCTCTCATATTTATCCTGTTTGACTTCCCCAGACTCACAGATATTGTTTTTTTTAAATCCATGTAAGCTTCCTCTTGATCAAACCTCTGACCCTTTTATTACACACAACTCTGATTGCAGCTAGGGCCCTACCGATATGTGATTTCTGGGGCCGATACAGATACTGATATTAGGGATGAAAAAAAATCTGATACCGATCTATCGACAGATATCTTTGTTGATTTGTTTAGAGATAGATAAAAAAAAATTGAGTTGACCCCACAAATGCAGTTATCAAACACTTGTAGAAAAGATTAATAATTAAGACAAGATGGTCACTAAACTGGAAAGTATCTGTTCATGTACGTGCATCACCGCTCAAGAGTGATGATGCTTTTTGTAATCCATATAGCGCCCTCTGCTGGTGACAGAGAACTGCTAGTGTAACACAAAGATACTCAAATGAAATGCTTTTTGACTCTTGAAGATATCTGGAATATCGGCGCATGTCTGAGATAGAATTAGCCGATGCCCATTGTAGCGTAACTGAAATCGAGCAGGAGTCTGTCAAAAAAGTCTCAGGGTGAATAGCACGTATTCCCACCTAAATTCAACACAAAACCACGCTACGAAATACAATTAAATCAAAGTTCATTTATACATTAAACATACATTCAGGACAACAGAAACATTTCATATTTAAAGTTAATCAAAAACAAAGATTTAAACCAGTCCAATGTTCTCATAAAAAATATGAATATTAAAGAAAGAGAGGGGTTGAGGGTGTGTGTGTGGTGTGTGAGTGGCTGTTTGGGCTGGGGGGAAGGAGAGATTGGAGACCAGAAGCAGGGGAAGTCTTGAGGTGAGGTAACACAGAGAGAGAGTGAGACGATATCACCTGTCCAGGTTTTGGTTCCTGAGAGGGGTTGCAGCGTTACCACTCCAATGATAATTTCATAACTGCCCGATCATTTACGAAGCTCCAGTCCATACCTCCAGAGCAAAGAAGGCAAAACAATCTGCCCACTCTAGGTTTTTATGAACGCTCCTCTCCTTTAATTGTTTGGCATCCAAGAACATTGCAAGCAGCCTGAACCCTCCTTCTCCAGTTGTCCAACACTCTACTGTGCAGCAATCCTCTGTCTCCTCTCACACGCACTCTCCCTCTCAGGTGCAAACAATCATCAATTTGCCTCTCCTAGGCCACACCCCTTCCTCACAGCCCTCTGCTGTGCAGCTGGATGCAGACTGCACCCTGTCTGCTACACCATAGTCAAGCGATATGCTAATATCGGCCGATAAATAAAGACACACATTATTTTCTGTTTAACACTGAAGGGAACGAGGCTGAACCCACAAAACCACCTACAAGACAAACAGTAGCAACGACAACTGTTCCATTAACAACACGGGCAAACAGTAACATGGCAACGACAAAGAAAGAAAAGTCCAACAACGAATCCACAGAAGACGAGGATAATAGTAAGTTGCCCCTGATTTTAATACTGTCATTAAAGAGATGTTTACACAAAAACAATCCACTGAAAACTGAATCGTTATAAGTTAGTGTTTTCCAAAAAAGTTCTGCGTTCAGACGACATTTTGATAACTGCTGTGCACACGCATCCTCAAAACAACTAAAAACCCTGCAGTGTTCATGCCAGGCCAGTAGTTGGTGTAGTAGTTGTAACTGTGTAATGAAACAAAAGAGCATGTGCACATACTCTTCCGTCTACAGAGCAATTGACTTAAAAGTGTCGTACATATTTTAAAAAACTGAGACGGGTCCTAGTAACCACACTGCTGACAAAACGATGCCCATCACACGACCTTAATGTAAACAAACAAACAAACAAAAGAGCAAACTATTAAAGTGTAGATTGTTAGAAAACTCCAGCCGATGTGTAGCTGAGCTCTTCGCATCAAGTTGATTTGATGTGCATTTTTCTACAGTCCGTCAGGCATTAACAGGGAATCAGGTGAAGATTTATCTGGCAGCAGAGCGACGGGCGTGCCGGTCAGATGAACAATGGTGCTGATGTGATGGCCATCTCAGTCACGCTGATGTGATCGGTTGATCTCAAATCACAAGCAATGTTTGGTTTAGGGTGACATCGAGGTTCAACAATATGAAACTTGTTTTATGTAGTGTTATTATTATTACACTAGCCTCTTCATTCAACTGGTCCAAGTCGTGACAAAACTTGATGATATTTGACACATCTAAAAAAAAAAGACCGCAGCTTTTTTTCATTTCTCACGTTCAGCCCATGATCCTCTGAGCGAGAACTCTTTTCTGTTTCCTGTGTTATAACTGTTTTCTGTTTAACACTGAAGGTAATGACGCTGAACCCATAAAAACCACTTACAAGACAAACAGCAGCAACGTCAACTGCAGCAGCAACAACTGTTCCATAAACAACAACGGCAAACAGTAACATGGCAACGACAAAGAATCAAAAGACCAAAAAAGAAAAATCCAAAAAAGACAAGGATAAGAAGAGTTGATTGAAGATGATTTTAATATTGTCATTAAAAACATCTTGTTTAAAAATTCTTTCATAACCTTCTAAAGTCAAGATTACATTTTAGAAATCAGACAATGAAGACTTATCAAAGCTACTTTAGTTGATGTTTTCTACTACTACTCGTCCTTAAAGGAGCAGTATGTAACTCTGACCCCTAGTGTTTAAAATGGGTACTGCAGTCAGAGAGCTGTCTCCCCCCGTCCCCTCCTCTCTAGAGTCGATGCTCACGCAGGTTGCCATGTGGTGGACGCTGAAGCTTCATTGTTTAGCCAGCTCTGCATCGGTCTGACCCCTTAAATGCAGTTATCAAACACTTGTAGAAAAGATTTATAACGAATACAAGATGGTCACTCAACTGGAAAGTAACTGAGCATGTACGTACATCATCGCTCGACACTCTGGAGAGTGATGATGCTCGTTGTAATCTATATAGCGCCTACTGCTGGTGAAAGAGAACTGCTAGCGTAATACTCAAATGAAATGCTGTTCGACTGGTGAATAAATCGAGTACTTTCGGCGAATATCTGAGATAGAATTAGTTGATGCCGATAGTCATGTGATATGCTAATATCGACCAGCCAATTAATCGGTCGGGTTCTAATTGCAACCCAATCGTCAAAAGTATGACAGCGTTCTTGTTCTGTTGGAATATAAACTCGAAAAGTATGAATCCGTTTTGTATCAGTTGATGAACTTGACATTAATATTAAGTAGAAAATGGTGGACAAAGTGAATGTGTTGATTGTAACCTTTAGCTGCTTTACTGAGAGGCATAAATTCATCCTATGCGAGACTGTAAGATATGTTCAGTTATTGGCAAAATGCAACCGTTGTTTTTTTCTTGGACGTGTGTGCTCTACATATTAAGCTGCTGTCCAAAACACCACTAATTATCTTTGGTGCACCCATAAAGTTTCCCGATTAAACTTTAAGTTAAACAATATGAACAACTTTCTGGATTTGAGTTTCCAGATTAAACTTTAAATTAGACACTATGAACAACTTTCTGGATTTGAGGAATCTATTTGGCAGTCAGTGTTATGCTAAGCTAAGATATGCTAACTGGCTCCTGGCTGTGGCCTTATATTTACAGTGTGACTCTTAGCTAGAAAGAGGATACGATATGTGTTATTAGTATCATTATTACACTATCCTCTTCATTCAACTGGTCCAAGTCCTGAGAAAACTTTATGCTATTTGAAAGATCTAAAAGCTTTTTTCATTCTTAACTATCAGCCCATGATCCTCTGAGCAAGAGTTCTTTTCTGTTTTCTGTATTATACTTATTTGTAACGAGGCTGAACCCACAAAACCACCTAAAGGACAAACTGCAGCCAGAAAAACTTTTCCATTAACAACACTGGCAAACAGACAAAGGTACAAAATACCAACAACAAATCCACAAAAGACGAGGATAAGAAGAGTAAGTTGACCCTGATTTTAATATTTGCAATCATGGTCATCTTTGGATTCTTCGTCACTGTTTTTAGTCTGGATGTCGTTTTTCTCTCTGCACTCGTCTTTGAGCTTCTCTCTAAAGTCTCTCTCTCTCTCGCTCTCTCTGTTGTCATTTCACATTTGTTTACATTTGGGTTTGTGTGTCTTTGTAGGCAATGTCACATTAGTGATCATTTTTATATCAAAGTTACTTTATGACACTTTGCAGCTGTTTGTGTCTTACTTAAAGAGGACATATTATCCCCCTTTTCCAGCTTTTCAAACAGTCCCCTGTGGTCTAAATGAAACATCTGTGCTGAGCTTTGGTCAAAATATAACATGAATCAAGCAGCAGAGGAGGTTTGTGACCCTGTATAAACCAGCTCTCTCAGAACGCTACATTTTGGTGTGTGTGTCTCTTTAAATGCAACGAGTCCCCCCCCCCCCCGAGTTTTCCCGGTAGACATCTGGGGGTAGAGTCCATGGGTGGAGATACCAGGGGAGGGGAGTTTTTTTTTTTTCAAACAAAGGACTGGATGAGTTTATTTCATATTTTGCGGGTCAGTAGACACTCATTCATAATATGTCCCCTTTAAAGGCTTTATATGTGATTTTTTGATCCAGCAGATGTCGCCCTTGAGCACCAGCATGAAACCAAAACAACTTGTGCTGCATTGTTCTGTTAGCATGCTAATGCTAGCGATCTTTATTCTGCTTGTATCACACTGCATGTAAATTTACCCGAAATGACTGTGATCTAGAAACGCTAACATGACATTCAATTAAGCAGTGAGTACAGTATGTTCTTTTTCTTTTCTCTAGTCCCTCAATTAAACAACTTCTATGCGCAAGGGGATCAGCCAGCCGGCCGTCCTGGCGATGTAGACGAACTGAAGATAGGACTCGGAAAACTCGGAAAGCATCACAGACAGTTGGACTCGGGTGTTTCACCGATTGTAGACAGTCATGACTCACAGAGTTATTTTCAGAGGATATACTTGATTTTTATTACATTTAAGTGTGAAAAATCACGTATAAAGCCTTTAAGTAAGTTTGTTCATCTTTTTGCTAACCTCCGTGGACCTTTCCAACATGACTGGATCCCCAGCTTTCTCCCTCACCCCCCCTGACGGTCGGCCTTAGACATGTTGTGTCTTTTGAATCACTTTGTGTCTCTTATGTGGACATTTTTTGTGGTATTTTATGCATTTCTTCTGTAGTGGTATCTTTTGTAGAAGTCCTTTGGTGGTCACTTGATGTCTCTCTTGTCATTTTTTCTAATTTTTGGGTCACTTTGTTGTGTATTTGTGTATTTTTGTAGCTGTTTTGTGTTCTTTTAGTCTTTTTTTGTGTCTTTATGAAAAACGTTTTTCAACACTGTGCATGCTGGCTGTTAAAAATAATGAATCAGTGTATTTACATATCTATTTATTCATTTTATTTATTCCACACAGAAGGGAAGACTACACCAGTTACATTCTTGGCCACAACAACATCCACCGATGAAGCCTCAGCTTCTTCTCCTGCAGCCTCAGGTACAGGTACAGACACAGCAGACTCCTGTGGTGTGACTATAACAACTTTACAGATCTGAAAGCTTTACGTCTAATGTGGCGATGAACTGACCGTAACACGTGATAGAAGAGTGTCTGTTTACAGATGTTTTTGGTCTTCCAACTGCTCATTCTCCATGGGTTCGGCTGGGGATCGTTATCCTCTATTTAGTCGTCATGATCAGCATCACTGTGACAACCTGGAGAAAAGGTGAGCAAAGTTTGTTTTCTTCTGAAAGTGTTCAGCACTTCTGTTCAATAAAATCTACCAATCAGTCTTTGTTAAGTAACTCAAACTGACCAGATGTAGGGTTTCTGAATCAGATGAAAGAGATGTGTACCTGGCTATTAATTGGATCCCCTTGCTTTAGCGCCACCTAGAGGAAGAGATTTGATTTCAAAATGTTCTAAATTTGATTGTATTCAGTCTATGCATTAAAACTATGACAGCAGTTTATTCTAAATAAATAATAAAAATAAATAACAGAACAAACTCTCTCTTTAGGTGTTCATAAAGAGCTGGGTCTTTAGCTTTTTCTTAATGGTGCAAAGGGATTCTGCAGATCGAGTTCCACCACCGGGGGGTGACAGAGGAGAATAGTCTAGCTAGAAACTTGCTCCCAATTTCCACAGATATGCAGGTATGTAGCTGACATGATTGACAGGTTGGCGTGATGTAACGGTTTGTCAGGAGGCTCAAAACCGTCCTCCAGCTCTCTGTCTGTTGTTAGGTTGACTAAAAGGACAAGAATAGACCAGAGCTATATTCTATTGAAATGGGTCCTGGGACTGCCCGGACTAGCTGTGCATTTATCCAATCAAGTTCATTCATTGAGACTACGTCACCTTTTGTGTAGCCTACAGCGAAGAACTTGGCCATCACGAGTAGACAAAGAGGTCCAGGAGAAAATCAGAACAAGCCCACTTTTCAGGGGGTATGCGCTCATCAAGCGGCGAGTTGAGTGCTCCAAGCGCAATCCCTAACGTCCTCGCCTGAAGCAGTAGAGACGTATGGTTAGGACCCTGTTGTGAAGGTTTGATCAGACGATATCACAAGAGCCTGAACCAGGAGCTGTGTAGCATGTTCTGACAGGTAAGGTCTGATCTTCCTGATGATGTACGAATGACCGGGCGATCGAGTCCTCTTGAATGTGAAATGTTAGCTGTTCATCAATCATGACACCCAGGTTCCGGGCAGACTTTGTGGGCTTGAGTTTAGTTTTACCAAGCTGGATATTGACCTGTGGTTGAATAGAGGGACGGGCTGGGATGACAAGGAGCTCAGTCTTTGAGAGGTTTAGTTGAAGGTGGCGTTCATTCATCCATTTAGAGTCGTCATCGTCATCTTTGTTTCATGATATTAACATTAGAGGTGGATCACTTCTGAGCTTTATTCTGATCACTTAGTCGTAAACTTTTTATTTTTTGCAAATAAACTTCACACGGCAGGTTATCAAATATAATAAAAAAGTCTTCTATGAGCGACCACAAGGTGGCACTATTTAGAAGGTTTGATCATAGCCCAACTTTGCACCACTTACTGAAACTGTAGAGACAGTCAAAGTAAGACGTTATGTATATGAATCACCATAAATGTGAGCATGTAAATGAGGACAAGTTGAATAAAAACATCCTTCATCATCTTTGTTTTCGGTGTCTTGTAGCTCGACAGACTGGGAGACGACACGCGACAGGAAGAGGAAACTAGGTCTAATCCTCCGTCACACAGAAACAAGAGTGTCACAGCCGGCTCAAAATCAACGTTTCTTCTTCTACGGACTTCAAAGATATACTCCTGGATCTATAACCACTATTTTACTACTTTTTAGGGCCGTCATGTAACAGCTTATCTCCTGCAATTTTTCTGTTCTATATGCAGTGAATAATGTATTCAGTTTGTTACAGCAGGACCCTGACCTGAAGCTGCTTATTACATGTTTACTCAAGAAATCAATAATTTGACTCCAAATGTATATTTGAAAATGCCTTTAAGTCTTACCCAAATAAAAGTTTCTTAATATCACAGTTTGTACTGTGATCTTTAAAGGTCACATATCCTCCTCCTCTTCAACCAGTTTAAATCAGTCTCAGAGCTCCTCAAAACATGTGTGAAGTTTCTCGTTGTAAATCCACTCTGATCCTGTATTTGATCATACCTATAAACCCCTCTATTTCAGCCCTGCTCAGAACAGGCTGTTTCTGTGTCTGTACCTTTAAATGTAAATGAGCTGTGTCTGACCACACCCCCTCTCTGGAAGATCTTGGGTGTCTCTGGCTTCCTCGCTCCATGTCCTATTGTTCACGATGAGAATACAGACTCAGAGGGCAGAACAAACACCTAGCTGTGGGAGAGTCACCCACCTGGGGGAGGGGTTACTACCCTTTGTGATGTCATGAAGGGAAAATCTCCAAATGGCCTTTTTGAGCACACATTTTCTGAAAAGTGGAGCAGGCAAAAGACGGAGATGATGGACTTTTTTCATCATTGAGGGGTTTGTAGACAGACTAGGGACACATATTAGGTTGATTTTACAGAATATGTTAATATCTGTTCCTATCTTTGAATAGTTTAAAGGCCACTTTAATTCACATTCAATTCACATTGAAAAAATAATGGAAGTGAGTCAAGCTGAGCTCTGACTCGTTACTGTCAAAATGCATTGACATTTATTTTCCATTTACCAGTAAAAAATGTGGCCTTTACTTCTTTCTGTCTTCTTCTCTTTTGTCAGTTTCTCTGCAATCCTGGAAAGCTATACTTTGGTCCGACAACGTTACAGCCTCTGGGAGAGATAAATAACATTTCAGGGCTCCTGGTATTTCCAATTCCATCCATACGTATTAAGCTCCTGGTAGCTAGCAGTAAGCAATGAATTACTTCCTGCCATGACGTCCTTTTCTGTGCATTGCCTTTGTTTACTGTCTAATTTAATTAACAGTGAAAACACATTGGCTGTTTGTGAAACATTCTTTTAAGGGATATTTCACGTTGACCAAATTCAGTCAAGTTTTACCACAGACTGTACAAAACATGAACGTAGTCTCAGTGACGTCACCCACCCCCACTGAAGCCAGAGAATGGTGGTCGCCATATTGGAAAAGTTGACTCTACCTATCTTCAGATGAATTTGGAAAACGGGTAAAAAGGCGGAGCCGAGGTGGGGCTTAAACCTTCTGGGAAACAACAACGTGTTCTCCTGTCGGTCAACACAGCCACACCCCTAATTAAGAGACGAGCTCTAGAGATCAAACCTGTTTCTGTATCAGGCTGTGGACATGTTTATTTCTGCTGTAAACATTTTAACATATAGGACCTAATGGGGAATCCTCCGTTTTTTGGAGCCAGTCTAAAGTGGACACTGGAGGAACTGCAGTGTTTTTGCACTTCTGCGTTGACTTTTGGAGGTTTCAGCACAAGTTCTCCAGACAGGGTCACTGAAAAAGTCTGAGTAAATTGACACTCTAGTTTATTTATTGTTCTTTTAATCAGGTATACAAATATCAATGCAGTTATAAATAAAGCCACTTCAGTGGAAGTGTAATAGTGATGATGGTGTTAATGTGTCTGACAATGACTGAGTTGATTGTTTTCACGTTTGTTGTCATTTTCCCTGACCTGTCAGCATCCAACAGATTTCATGCAGCTTTGGTCACATAACGATTTTACTTTTAAGACATGACTTCACATCTTTCAGAAAGATAAACACTCATTATGAGTCCATAACTGAGGCGCTGACTGTGTGGTGGGTGAAACATTCAGAGAAGAGGAAACTTCAGCGCTCATTAACCACAGATTGAAATAGTCACAGACTCACTCTTATAAATTACTAATGTGGGTGTTTAGGGTAGAGGAACACACACTCGCTAGCACGTAGACAGTCGAGTTCCTGTTCTCTTCTAAGAGAAACTGTGCTCACTTTGTGACAGAAGTCAGTGCGAAGATGAAGGTGATCATCAGCTGCTGCCTGTTTGCCTTCCTCCTGAGCTGTAACCTCACTGCAGGTAAGACTGCCCTGTTTCTCACCATTACTTTTGTTGGGGTTGTATCAAGTCAACTTTGGTTATATTCTTTAATAATTATACTTAATTATTAATAATATAAATAAAATATCATTAAACTATGTTTAATCTCGTTTTGGGGCACCAACCTATAATCAGGTAAATATAACCAAAATATCACTCAAATCAGTCTCAAATTAGTTATTTAATTACTAATATTATTAATAATGAATAACTATGTTTAATAAATTGAAGGCGTGAAATCCGTACACAAAGCCTTCGCACCCAGCTTATATCACAATGCAAATACAACCAATAATCACAAACAACTGCTCTCTTAAATTATAACAGAATTTATTTAAACAAAGCAACATCAATCCAAAATCAATGAACTTAATTAAACAAATAACTATTATAAACTAATCTAAGCAACAAACATTATCAAGCAAGGAAGGGGTGTGAATGTGTGTGTGTGTGTGTGTGTGTGTGTGTGTGTGTGTGTGTGTGTGTGTGTGTGTGTGTGTGTGTGTGAGAGAGAGAGAGGGGGAAGAAGAAAGGGGGGGGGAGATGGCTTCGTACCCACGTGGTCGTTCACGATGGCGCAAACCTAACAAAGACCTGGGTGCGTGCGTGCGTGCGTGCGTGCGTGCGTGTGTGGATGAAAGGGAGAGAAAAGGGGGGGGAAGATTACTTCGTCCCACGTGGTCGCCCTTCCGATGGCGCACACCTAACAACGGCCTAAATGTGGCCTTAAGGTCTAAAAGAGACCGAGTTCGGCCCTACACGATCTGTGTCTCTGAGGCGTCTGGATAGCCGCGAGTGTATAGATCTCTGTGCGTAATGGCGCGGTGGTGGAGTTGGTCTCCAGATGTACGTTTACACGGGAATATGTGTGTGTGTGTTTGTAGAAGGGGAAATGAAAGAGGATAAAAGAGAATAAAAGAGAAATGCGTGCCTGAAGAGGCCGGATCACAGTCCGACTCCCGCGCCACTACTCGGAGTAATTCCCTTCATTCACAGAAACAAACCAATAGCCGAATTCAAGCGTGAGAAAGGTTACTTCAGGAAGTAAAAAAACAGCCCGGATAGATTCAGTGGTAACGTACCTACACCGCAATATTTACATAAATGTGGAATATTTTTTAATGTGTTATTCTCATCAGTTTGGGTCGTTGGTTGTTGATTTTATACATGATTAGTGCATTGATTTCTTTAGTATGAAGATGAAGAAGATATCCTCCATTAATTATTAGAGGGAGATTACATTTGACGCTGTGTTGTTGAACATGCTCCACACACACACACACGATCCTGTGGATGCACTGATGGCAAACGCTCCTGAGCTGGTGGGGCGGGGGTTTGGTGCCTTGGTCACATCGGCAGTACTCAGGAAGTGATCTGACACCTCTCCAGCTACCAGACCAACTTCCAGACTAGGGCACTTTCCGAATAGCCACAGTTCAGTCGGCAGTACGTACTTTTCAGTAGGGAGTTTCAGTATACTGAACTTCCGTGGTCATTCACTATGCATTTTTTGGGTCCACCTCAGTATACTGAACATTTCAGTATGGATACTAACTTCCGGATTTCATGCAGTATGGATCGGATGCGTGCTTTCAGGAAATGAATTGTATTTTACCACCCACAATGCTGTGCGAAATTAAACGTAAATCATCACGTCCGCCTCCAAATCAAAACAAACGAGCGTGGATTAATTGAATAAATTTTTAATCTAGAGTTAAAGTCCCGACTGAAATCGCTACTTTTAATTAACAACAGAAAATATAACAAATATCTGCATTATTATAAAACCTTTCCCCCTCTATTTAAATAATGATTTCACTATTTAAATGCATCTGTCTGACTTGTGATGTTGTTTTTTGTTTACCTGACTGTATATGCGCATTACTCTAAAAAAAATAAAATCAAAAAAAAGGGTGAATGCGGCCGGTTCGGGTAACATAAATGACGTCACTTCCATACTGAATGAATCAGATGAAGTAGGAACAAATATCTGCCTACTGTGCGCGCCCACTGAACAGTAGGTACTAAAGTTTAGCACTTGCAGGTATTTGCAGACCCCTTTTCAGCTGATGTTGAGAGTGTCCCAAGTGTGTTGCAAATGGAACTTGTTGACCTGCAGTGTAACAGTGAACTGAAAAATAAATTCAGAGAGGTATAGGGGAAGGCAGACCTGACTGGACAGTTTCTAAGAGAATTACCTGCATCCTTCCCAGAGCTATCCAAATTGTTCAGTCGTGTAATGTGCCTTTTTGGAAGCACGTATCTGTGTGAGAAACTTTTCTCGACAATGAACTTTAATAAATGCAAGTACAGGTCCAGGCTTAGTGATGCACACCTTGAAGCTGTACTCAGGGTTTCAACTGTGACCTCCGTCAAGGTAAATGTGGCTCATCTGTGTGAGCAGAAGCGCTGCCAGGTGTCTGGCAAGAAATAGAATGCAGGATTAATGTATTGGTATTTTGAGTAACTGCATTTTTTGGTTCAGTGCAGGTTTTATTTATTATTTGATTAAGTTATTTAAGTTATAAAGCAAACACAAAAGACTTGCACTACTAAATGAAAGCAGATGTTTTGAAAAATGTATATAAACTGCTGTTTGTATTAGTGATGTGTGACAACATTTTGCGGAAACAAAAAGTACATTTGCAAAAATAAAGTCCTTTTTGTGGTGCTTGAACTTTGTAGTGGCCCTCCTTTAAGTCGACAGTACTCCCAGTGGCCCCATGCCAGTTTGAGTTTGAGACCCCTGTACTAAACAGTACACAGCACGGATAGTAGGTACTGCCTACTGCCTACTGCAAGATTGAGTAGGTACTTGGCAATTCAGATACAGCCACTGTCTGCACCGGGACTTGAACCAGCGACTCTCTGGTTCGCCAATCCAAGTCCCTAGAGACTGAGCTGTTTTTTCTTACTGTCTGTCAAAACACCAATGGACGTGCATTAAACGTGAACGTGCATGTTTAAACCTGATGCTGCATCATTAAGATGATCCTCCTCTGCATGTGAAGTCTGGTGGATTTAATGTTGGAGGTTCATGACACAAAGACGCGTTTGATGAAGAGAAAGTTAAATGTGATTCTGAAACTGGTTTCAAACCATATTTTAGTTGCTTGCAATTTGAAGAATACAGACATCCTGACAGCCGAGTCTTTGTATCTAACGTTGTGTTTCTGTTGCAGCAATCACCCATAAAATAGTCGAGCAGAAGAATCCAATCGCTTTACCCTGTCCTCACCCTGTGGATAAAGTGAAGTGGAGCAGAGAGAAGAATGGAAACAAAACTGACTTAATGACTGTTGAGGATGATAAGGAGACAAAACACATTTCAGACCCATATAAACATTACAGTTCATTAGCAGATAAATCTCTACAGATACGAAGAGTAAACTTCTCAGACGATGGAAGATATTTGTGTAACGATGAAGCAGCTGTGGATCTGACGGTGATCCCAACAGGTAACATCGAACTTTAATAAAAACCTTTCAACATGACTCGATTTCTCTGCCCAGATTTTGTGTTTTAGTTTAACATGGACCACAGACACACTTCAGTAATTTGAAAGAACTGTGCATTTTCATTTAAAAAAATTGGGTTTGATTTTTCTTTCCAGTTATTTAAAAAAAATATTTTCTACCTTTGTTAGTCTTTATTTAATGACAGTTTAGAATCCTCTGACTTTACTCTGCGTGATGCATTAATCGTAGCTCATAATAAAACCTGTTTTGATTCCTCTGCACAGGAACAGTCGTTCACGAGGCGACAGAGAGGACCAGGGTCACTCTGAAATGTCCTGATGTTTCAGACGATCATGGATGGTGGACAGACGTGGTAGACATACAACAACAAAGACGATTTGTTGTTTCAAAAGCTAAAAAGACGTTGACAATAAAAAAAGTGAATGCTGCTGACTCTGGACTTTACTACTGCGGTGAAAAACCTGCTGCGTACCTGAACGTGATCAGAGATGATGTGTCTGACAGAGGTGAGAGGAACACATCATCAGGGAAGAAGTTAAGAGAAGTTATTTAAAATAAGTCAGACAGATTCTTAGTAATCTACCTTTTCACCTTCTTGTCACAGATATTTAGAGATATGAGGACATTGATACCTCTCATATTTATCCTGTTTGACTTCCCCAGACTCACCGATATTGTTTTTTTTTAACTCCATGTAAGCTTCCTCTTGATCAGACCTCTGACCCTTTTAAAAAAAAAATCTGATACCGATCTATCAACAGATATCTTTGTTGATTTGTTTAGAGATAGATAACACATTTTGAGTTGACCCCACAAATGCAGTTATCAAACACTTGTAGAAAAGATTAATAATTAAGACAAGATGGTCACTAAACTGGAAAGTATCTGTTCATGTACGTGCATCACCGCTCAAGAGTGATGATGCTTTTTGTAATCCATATAGCGCCCTCTGCTGGTGACAGAGAACTGCTAGTGTAACACAAAGATACTCAAATGAAATGCTTTTTGACTCTTGAAGATATCTGGAATATCGGCGCATGTCTGAGATAGAATTAGCCGATGCCCATTGTAGCGTAACTGAAATCGAGCAGGAGTCTGTCAAAAAAGTCTCAGGGTGAATAGCACGTATTCCCACCTAAATTCAACACAAAACCACGCTACGAAATACAATTAAATCAAAGTTCATTTATACATTAAACATACATTCAGGACAACAGAAATATTTCATATTTAAAGTTCATCAAAAACAAAGATTTAAACCAGTCCAATGTTCTCATAAAAAATATGAATATTAAAGAAAGAGAGGGGTTGAGGGTGTTTGTGTGTGAAGGTGTGTGAGCGGCTGTTTGGGCTGGGGGGAAGGAGAGATTGGAGACCAGAAGCAGGGGAAGTCTTGAGGTGAGGTAACACAGAGAGAGAGTGAGACGATATCACCTGTCCAGGTTTTGGTTCCTGAGAGGGGTTGCAGCGTTACCACTCCAATAATTTCATAACTGCCCGATCATTTACGAAGCTCCAGTCCATACCTCCAGAGCAAAGAAGGCAAAACAATCTGCCCACTCTAAGTTTTTATGAACGCTCCTCTCCTTTAACTGCTACACCATAGTCAAGCAATATGCTAATATCGGCCGATATATAAAGACACAGATTATTTTCTGTTTAACACTGAAGGGAACGAGGCTGAACCCACAAAACCACCTACAAGACAAATAGTAGCAACGAGCAAACTATTAAAGTGTAGATTGTTAGAAAACTCCAGCCGATGTGTAGCTGAGCTCTTGGCATCAAGTTGATTTGATGTGCATTTTTCTGTAGTGTTATTATTATTACACTAGCCTCTTCATTCAACTGGTCCAAGTCGTGAGAAAACTTGATGATATTTGACACATCTAAAAAAAATAAAAAGACCGCAGCTTTTTTTCATTTCTCACGTTCAGCCCGTGATCCTCTGAGCGAGAGTTCTTTTCTGTTTCTTGTATTATAACTGTTTTCTGTTTAACACTGAAGGTCACAAGGCTAAAACCACTAAACCACCTACAAGACAAACAGCAGCAGCAACTGTTCCATTAACAACACGGGCAAACAGTAACATGGCAACGACAAAGAAAGAAAAGTCCAACAACAAATCCACAGAAGACGAGGATAATAGTAAGTTGCCCCTGATTTTAATACTGTCATTAAAGAGATGTTTACACGAAAACAATCCACTGAAAACTGAATCATTATAAGTTGGTGTTTTCCAAAAAAGTTCTGCGTTCAGACGACATTTTGATAACCGCTGTGCACACGCATCCTCAAAACAACTAAAAACCCTGCAGTGTTCATGCCAGGCCAGTAGTTGGTGTAGTAGTTGTAACTGTGTAATGAAACAACAGAGCATGTGCACATACTCTTCCGTCTACAGAGCAATTGACTTAAAACTATCGTACATATTTTTAAAAACTGAGTCGGGTCCTAGTAACCACACTGCTGACAAAACAATGCCCATCACAAGACCTTAATGTAAACTGTTGCATGCCCTGGACATGCAAAAACCACCACCCATTAGTTAACTAGACTACTCTTTCCTAGAACTAAATAATAATATTAATGTATACTTTATTGATCCCGCGAGGGGAAATTCATTTTTACACTCTGTCTAGTTAACATGCTACACAAACATAGGCCAAAATACACACACATGCACAAACAGGATCCTATGGACATGCACTAATGGAGAGGTCTCAGAGTGAGGGGGCTGCCCGCAGTGGGCGCTACTGAGCTGGTGGGGGGGTTAGGTGCCTTGCTCAAGGGCACCTCGGCATATGACATAGGTCATACCAAGTTCATATGTGGTTTCAGCTCGAAGACCGTGAACCGAGCAGATACACAGAAGAGCTGATACTCAGAAACACTATACGCCTACGAGCTCCTATGTGGTCTTGCTTCAATGTATGGCACACCTATCTTGACCTAACAGGAGTTTAGGCACTACGAGTGTGTGTAAGTTTAACAGGAAATGTTGAAAGCAGAAAAAGGTTATGACTTTATGACCTATGTATTAAATGATGAAAGAATTAAATGATAATAAAACAAAAAAAAAACAAATTCAACAATTGCATAACTCTTTCTGATCTCTCAACAAAACAAACAAACAAACAAAAGAGCAAACTATTAAAGTGTAGATTGTTAGAAAACTCCAGCCGATGTGTAGCTGAGCTCTTGGCATCAAGTTGATTTGATGTGCATTTTTCTGTAGTATTATTATTATTACACTAGCCTCTTCATTCAACTGGTCCAAGTCGTGAGAAAACTTTATATTTGACACATCTAAAAAAAAAAAAGACTGCAGCTTTTTTAAATTTCTCACGTTCAGCCTGTGATCCTCTGAGCGAGAGTTCCTTTCTGTTTCTTGTATTATAACTGTTTTCTGTTTAACACTGAAGGTCACAAGGCTAAAACCACTAAACCACCTACAAGACAAACAGCAGCAGAAAAAACTGTTCCATTAACAACGGCAAACAGTAACATGGTAACGACAAAGCAACAAAAGTCCAAGAACAAATCCACAGATGAGGACAATAAGAGTAAGTTGACCCTGATTGTAATATTGTCATTAAAAAAAGTTTTATTTAAGAATTATTTCATAACCTTCTTGAGTCAAGATTACATTTTAGAAATCAGAAAATGAAGACTTATCAAAGCTACTTTAGTTGATGTACTACTCGTCCTTAAAGGAGCAGTATGTAACTTTGGCACCTTGTTTAAAATGAGTACTGCAGTCCAAACTAAAAACATTGTAGAGAGCTGTCTCCCCCCGCCCCCTCCTGGCAGGTTGCCATGTGGTGGACACTGAAGCTTCAGTGTTTAGCCAACTCTGCATCGGTCTGTAAACCTTTCTGCGTTCTAACCTCTCTCCATTTTTCAAAAGTATCAGCATAAAAAAAATATCAAATTACATCCACACAGGTTTAGTCACACTGTTGTTGAATTAAAACAGTAAAGCCTGATTAGATTCTTAAATACGTTTTTCAAAGTGGTCAAACTGTTTTGTGATATATTTTGATTGAAGTGTTTGACTGCAACGTGAAAATGTGAATCTAGTCTTTAATTAAAATATTGCAAAATCTATGTTTTCTTTTTCCCCACAAACTAAAAGGATTGAAGACACAAGAAACAACTTTAACGACAACTTTAAACTCAACACAATCGACAGACTCAGGTAAAGAAACAAGTGTTTCAAATTAACCATCACGACGGTTCGTACATCTCATGGCTCAGAAAACATAGAACCAACAAGTCTGACTTGTAAAGTTTTTAGTGTTTTGTTATTTTATGTTTTACTTTAATAATTATTCAAATACTGAATGAAAAGAACCTGCTCTGTGTACCATCGATCGAATTTGAGTTATTCATTCTGATTTGATTTTTCAGACTCCAAAAACACTCCTGGTTTGGTGTTATGGATGTATAGCTTCATCATCATCCTCATCATTATCCTCATCATTATAGTCACTGTCTATTGTAAAAAAAGAAGATTTAAAAAAGGAGGTAAATGAATGCTTCTTGTTAACAATATTGTCTATAAATCAAGCAGAATATGAGATATTTAAATATAATTACACAATACAGAAGAAGAACAAAAATGGGGGACGATCCAAATAAAAAAACGAGAAAAAGAATCTGGATGAAATTCTGGCCGAGAAGACGGTAAAGGTGCTTAATGCCATGCACACACTTGGACATATTATTATTTGGACATATCCGCGACAAGCCCCAAATTGGGCCATGCCTGTCTCTTTGTATTTTTCCTTGCAGAGCAGCAAACAAAACTCACTTTTCACTTTCTCAGTTGTTGGATGTTTGGAGATCCAAATGAATCCCGACCGTCTGGGAGCTCGGCTCAGATTTAAGTTTTACTACGCCTTCACGTTAAAATACACAAAAAGACATGAATTCAAATAAAATGAAACAAAAACTCACTTCAAATTGAGCTTCTCAGCCATCAGACAAAAGAGGCCATGTGGCACCCACAAAAGCTTTAAATACTTCCTACCACTTTGCAACAAGAAGGGGGTTTATAATCAGACTGCTTAAATGAATCTCTTAATTATGAGCGACATCAATCCTTTCATTAAAGCAGTAAGTTTACAGTAAGTCTACAACATGCTCATAAAGCAAGAGTTCATCTTACTTCAGCTGGTTTTGAACTCAATAGAAAAAGAAAAACCGTTACATTTTTTTTCATCTTAAAGTCCGATTTAGTCCAGATTACCTGCTGTGCCCGCCTTTTTCTTTGCAGGTAAAAAAGAAGAAGCTATTTATGAAGAAATACCGGATGCATTGTTTCAGCCAAAAAATGGTGAGAAAAGTTATTTTTATTTTATAGAGAAAGACAAACTTGCTGTTTCTGGGATGACCAAGAATGTTGCAGCAGTGATGGAAAAAACAAAACAAAGCTCAGTCAGCTGTGTAAAGCAAGCTTTGGTTTAAAAAAACCTTGGTGTAAAAAGAAGCCGTATAAGTTAATGTTAGCTGGTTCTGTATAATAATGCTTGTTGGTTAAATTTTTTAGACAGATTAAACCAAAATGATCCCACGTATTCCACCATCTCTGAGCTTCCTCTGATGGAGAAGCCAACTGGTAATACTTTTACGTTTACACTAAAAATGTTTGTTAAACCAAATATTCCTGGTAAAATATAGAATATTTTGTCATGTTTTCTTGCAGACACAATTCTACCTAATGAGTCCCCTTACTCCTGCATCGGAGACACGTTAGGTAGAGATTACACAGGTAACAGTTAGCTCCTTAAATGCGGGAAACATATTTAGGTTTCAAGATTCTAAATCTAAATCCCACCAAATGAACCTGCCAAACAGACAAGACTTATTCTTTTCCATTTGCAGATTTGACGCAGTCGAATGAAAGCCCATATTTTTTACTGAAGGAACCTGAAACACCCGAGAACAACGACGACGTGACGTCTGCAGTTTGAGCGGAAAATTCTTCAGTTGTCAATAAAACCTGCTTCGTCAAGAAGAAGCCTTGTTTCCACTTGAGACTGTAAATAATAAAGTTTGAAGCCTGAGTGACCCGTCTGTTCCTGCAGGGGACACTGAAGTCCCATCGATGGCAGTCTCCATGCTGGAAATGCTGTCTCAGTCTAACTTTCAGTCAATCTAAAGACAGGCTGAGAGCTGGAGCTGAGGCAGGTTTTAAGCCTCCTGACAAACCGTTACACCGCGCCCGCCTGTCAAGCTGGTCAGCTACACGACTTAATGTGAATAACTCTTATCCTTCATCAAATCAAAACCTATAGGTCATCAAAACATTCACCCCCCGTACAGTGTGTGTCGATCGAGACATGAGCTAATCAGACCTATTTGTTTTTTTGTACCAAGCTGTAAACATGTTAATCTCTGCTGTAAAAACAGACTTTTTGAATGTGGTTTTTCAGATTAAATAAATATTTCTATATAAATGCACTCCTTTATGTCTACTTATGAGTATACATTTCAGATTTGAAATGACAAGACTAAAATGTGCATTAATGCTCAACTCAATAGCTAAGGGAAGGAAGTCTACTTTTACACAACTTTTTATTCTTTTGACATTTTTTTTTTTACCAAATACTAATGTAGTTCATTTCTTAAAATGGGATGGAACAGAGTCATTGCTAAATTTGCCCTTAAACACAGCCCCATTCTTAAATCAAGATACATAAAGAGTAAATAAGATCAATAACAGATAAAATCACATAATATCAACTTCTCCCATCTAAACTGGACAAAGGGTTTCAAAATGGGAAGAAAAGGGTTTGATTGCAAGTTGTTTGGAGGAGATCTATTTTTATTTGAACAGCATGAATACAGTCTTCCAAGGTGCAAACCCTCCTTCTTCTGAAGCTTGTGGAGCTCCTTGATGTACTGCTGTCTTATCTGCTGGCCATCTTCTCTCACCAGAACTTCGACTGTTGAAAAGTCATTCTGAAGAAGCTTGAGCATGTGACATGGATCCTGGAGAACATGGACTTTTAGTGAGGGGTCTTCAGGATGGCAAAGAAAGAGAGAAAATATCAGTTATTCATTAAATCATTTGTTTGTTCTCATCTATTTTTCTGTATTCATCTGTGTGTAAGAGCACATTTATAAATTCAACAGTGTAC